GGCCTGCATTGTGTCCAGCGATACAGCTAAGGGAGAGTAACCTGAACATCTGAGACGAGCTCAGTAGACACAGGTCTGAAATGGCTTTGAGAACAGGTGCTGTCAAACATGTTCAAGTCCCTAGGTGGAAGCTGGGAACATGAGATGGAGTTGGTATGCTTTGTCTGAGGTAGGCTTAGGTCAGACTGCAGAAAGAACTTTGTGATAGCAATAGCATCTTCTTGAACATGAGAAATTGGCCTCTGAGGAAGTCTTTTGTTATGAGAGATCTCAAACTGGCCAGACATTCCTGGTGCCAGGCCACTGATAGGAGGATTTGGGGTAGACAGCTGGGTTTGTGGGTAGACCAGAGCTGTCCCCTGAGTCTTCTCTAATCAGAACACTACTCAAGCCTCAGCCGGGGCATGTCTGGGCCTCTCAGGGGCCTTCATCAAGGCTGTCAGGATGCAGAGTCCAGAGCCCAGAGCAGAACTATCCCTTGCCTTCCCAGAGCTCCTGCCGTCCTTCGGTGCCCTCAGGGATTGGGTCAGGGTTGGGTGGCCAGGTCTCCCACGAAGCTCTCTATGAGTTCCAGGCCTATCCTCCTGTGCCTGGATTCCACCCCCAGTCACATCACCTCCTCTGCTTCCCTTGGACAGAGCAGGAAGTTGAGGAGAGGGCGTCCTAACCCATGTGTCCTCATCCTGGCCAGGCCTGTCTGAAGGGCTTAGGGCTGCCAGCCACTGGGTCTGGGTGCCAGGTTTCTCCAGCAGGGTCAGAGCTGGTTTAGAAGCCCTGTGTGGTCCCCTCGTGGGCGAGCTGAGAGATCAGCCTGCCTGCCTCCCTCCAAGTCGCCTTCTTGGCTGGCAGGCTGTCCCTTTCCCTGGGTCTCAGGGAGATGTGGGGTTTGGCCAGGGAAAGTGGTCTGGAACGGCCCTTTGACATCATCCCTGGGGGCTTTTAAAAATGAGTTTCCTGGTAAGGAAGACTCCTCTGGCCTTGAGCAGGATTCTCAGTAGAGTCTCATGGGTTTGCTCTGATCTGACAAACGCCAGGCGAAACCACCCAGCCGCCTGCATTCCAGCAGTGCTTAGAGTCGCGGCTTCTCTAGATGCAATGTCAGCAGAATGCAGCAGCCAAAGCACAGGAGTGTTTGCTCTGAGGCCCATGCTAGGCTCTGGGGGTGGGGGTGGGGGCATCAAAGGAGAGCATCCTGGCTTTGCCACCACTCAATCAGAACCACATATTCCTAGCTTCTCTAGGAATGGCTACTGCTCCAGTGATGCAAGAGGGGCTTGTTGTTGAGTTATGACAGTTCAGGCCCACAACTAGACATGCAGGTGGGCAGTACAGTCCAGGTAGCCTGCATGGGTAGTTCCTTTGCCATCCATAGGCTTTTCTAGAACTAAAGACTATCTGAACAGTCTATACCTGAAAGACCTGTCCTAGCTAAGGGTTTGGGAAGGAGGTGTGGAGAGAGAATGAAACTAGGGCTGGGGACCAAAATCGTCTACCAGACCTGTACCATATCCTGGCCTTTCTACATCTAAACTGTGGGATTCTGGACAGGATTCTGGTTTTATCTGATTTTTTTTTTTTTTTTTTTTTGTCACGGGGCTTGAACTTGGCCTGGGTGCTGTCCCTGAACTCTTTGCTCAAAGCTAGCACCCTACTACTTTGAGCCATCACATCCATTTTCCAGTTTTCTGGTGGTTAATTTTAGATAAGAGTCTCACAGACTTTCCTGCCCAGATGGGGTTTGAACCGTGATCCTTAGAGCTCAGCCTCCTGAGTAGCTAGGATTACAGGTGTGAGCCACCAGCACCCGGCTCATCTGATTTCTTATTGCTAAGTCTGAGAAGTAGCCATGGCCAAAACATGAAGCACAAAGGTTGCTCCTGGCATGGGGCTGAGTCCATTGCATGGAAACTGTGTTTCTAGTTACAGTGGATCTGAGGTTAGGATTCTCACCTGGCTAGTGCCAGATATTGGATGGAGACTCCTTGGGAGCCGGAGAGGAGAAAGGTGCTTGGCAGTGGAAAAGTTGCTGAGTTAGCCAGGGAGAGAAGCCATGCAGAGCAAAGGCGGAGGTTGGAGCAGAGGAAGTTTCATACTGCTGGAAAGCTCATGAGGATCCCCAGTGGGAGGTGACAGATTGCCTGGGGAAGCCTCCCAGCAGCATGTGCCAGGGCTCAGAAGGGCAGGGTGTGTACTGATGCCTGGGGAGGACTGGCTTTCCAGTACTTTGCATAGGAGGGATCAGGAAGCCAATTTAGGGCCAGATTTGCTTTCCCAAGAACTAGTGGGATTGCTGGCAGGAGGGGCTGGGTTTTGCCCTAAAGCTCTCTTTGTGCATCTGATTGGCCTCTAGGCCCAGGCTATGTGCTGAAAAGGAAGTCTCTTGGCCTGAGAAGGGCTGTAGACTGGCTGCAGGGACTCCATGAACAAATGGACAGGTTCATCTTGGCAGATGGCTTGAACCAGCTCTGGCTCCCAGCTGCTGTCTGCTCTGAAGCTTCTCCTAGTGGGGGCTTGGCACTTGCCCTGCCTGGACTAGAACCATCTGCCCATTCTTTTTCAATTTATCAAAATATTTATTGATAGATGCAAGTACATAAAATCAGGGCATGAACATGACTTGAGAAGTATGCTTAATTTCAGTACTGTTAAGGGGGAATAAATCATATTCTTACTATTTGTATCGTACCCATAAAATAATTTCAGTCATTAACAATGTTTCAGTGTTTCAAACCCAGAGCCTTTTATGCAAGACTTCTGCATTTGCTTAAAGATACTAGAAATCTAACATATGGCCTGGTGTCAGTTGCTCACGTCTATAATCCTAATCACTCAAGAGACTGAGATCTAGAGAATTAATTTGAAGCCAGTCCCAGCAAAAAAGTATGAGAGAATCTGTCTCCAATTAACCAGGAAAACGCCAAATGCCAGATGAAAGGTTTGCTTCAAGTGGTAGAGTGCCAGCCCTGAGTGAAAAGTTGGAGCAACAGTTTAAAGCCCTGAGTACTGGCACACCCACAAAAAAAGCTCTAGCATATGAAGCCCATTTCTAGAGGTAGAGATGCAGGCAATATATTACTAATTAAAGGTAGTAACCTTTAATTATTGATAAGATTTTTTTTTCAATTTAACAGTCCACACAGTTTAGATAAGATTTTTTTTTTCTGGAAAAACCAACCAAATACTGCAATAGTGCAACTATTACTGAGCAGAGCACTGTCTTACTGTAAGAGTAGCTAGGTTTGGTCAGAATAATGAAGATAGGGAAGAAGAACTCAGAAGGGCTCATTGTAGATAGCCTGGGGCAAAGTAGGAGGGCATATTTATCCAAAGCAAAAACACAGCAAAATCAGCAATGTCCATGGGACAGATTTGGCCTGATGGTTCACTTACCCACTGTTTCTTCTCTTTTATCCTCTTTTGGGTGGTTATGGCAGAAAAGTAGACATGCAATAGTAGAGCAGGAAAAACAGGAAGCTAAAAGTCTACTCTGAGTGCTTGGGAGCCGCAGAGACATGAGTGCTGCTGGCCACCAGCCCCTAGCCTCACAGATGAAAGACATTCCCTCTAGCATTATATACCCTCCTTTTATGCCCTCTCCTGCATACTCTTCCATCTCCTTTATCACACCTCACTGTAGATGAGGGTCATTTCTCTTTTGCAGTATAGTAGAAGGAGCATTATATGGGTCCTTAAAGCCTGTGCAACCAGAATTGTACAGTCCTCTGGCCTCAAGGATACCTAGAGAGGCCTTGGATCTCTATCCTCCCGTTCTTTGTCACTGTCCTTGGTACTGCCATAATTTGTTATAGTGTTTTCCCTATCAAAGTCCAGGAGTAACTCTCCTGCCAGTTTGCCCACTCTCTCTCCCATTTTTCTTCTATTCAACAGCAGTTTATTGAAATATGTACACATACTCCGTTCTAGCCTCTATAGCACCACAATGACTGCCAAATCCCTATTCTTATGGAGCTTATATATCCTATATCAAGTGGGATAAGGGCTCTAATGAAAAACAACACAGGTGAACAAGAGAGACCTCAGGAGGGAGAATGGGGAGATATCTGAAGGAAGGGATGGATCAGCAATCTCTTTCCTGGCTAAGGAGCAGGGAAAGGCTCTGAAAGGATGTGATGGAGATGAGAGAGGTAAGAAGCAGCAACCAATAAGGGCCCCATTCTAGCAGAGACTCTCACTTTGAGTGAACTAGGAGCTTGAGAGAGTTTGAGGCAGACAAATACATGCTTACTTTTTGTTTTAAAAAGATCACTGTGGCAGTTATATGGAAAGTAGGCTGAGGGAAAGAATAAAGGACAGAAACTGGGAAATTTCTACATTGTACTATCCTACTTGTCCTGTCTTCCAAGTCTCTTGTCCTAGTCTTTCTTTCATATCTTTTTCCTCACTCTTGTTTCTAAAGGCTCAGAAGAATCCTGATTGGCCTGTCTGTCTTCAGCTACTGCTTAGGGAACCCTTTCCATTCAGCCCCATTTCCTTCTTACATTACTCATTTGCCTGAGGCCTCTTCTTACTTACTGTCCTGCTGACTATTACCTTCATATTTCCTTCAGCCTTTTGCTGTGGCCCAACTTAGCATGGTCTTCATCCCTGCTAAGGCCTATTTTGGTGCCCATTTCTCTATTCTCACAGCTTTGGGCATCTCCTCTCTTCATATCTTTCATGTATTTGTAGCATGCCCCTTCAACCCTGACACCCTGAAGAGTAGGGCCTATGTTGTTTTGCTCTAGGTTAGGACTTCAGAGGCTGTGGGTTGTAAATGGCTGCTTGGGTTGAGTCATCTTAACCTTCTCATCTTGTGGTGGCTTGTGGTCTTATAGTTTGGGGTATTTCCAGGTCCTTAGCCTGGCTGCTTGTATTATGCCCAGAGCTAAAAGGAAGATGGAAATAGGAGGGCCCAGAGTTGGGTGAGAACGGGGACTTGGGAGCACTGGGGGAGGCTCAGCAAAGCTAGCTAGCTCTTATCCTCTGTTTTTGAATTTCAGACTTGAAGCTACACCTGCAGAGTACTGACTATGGCAACTTCTTGGCTAATGAGGCATCACCTCTGACAGTGTCAGTCATTGATGACCGGCTCAAGGAGAAGATGGTGGTAGAGTTCCGCCACATGAGGAACCATGCCTATGAGCCACTTGCCAGCTTCCTGGACTTCATTACGTAAGTATCCAATAGCATTGGGTAGAGTAGATAATTTTTACAGAAGGTAGCCTCATCATGTGCCTCTGTCAGCTGAGAGACTTGACAGCTGACAGAGAGTAAGGTTAGTTAGGCCAACAGAGTAAGGATAGGGCTGTAAGGTCATTAAGCAACATCATCAGAGTCCTCTTCAGCTATGTAACTGGACTTTTCAGGTTCACAACTTGTAGAGTAGGGTCACCAGCCTCTTTCTCTGTGCCTAAAATGTTTCAGAGATTGGAGTAGGGAGACAAAAGAAGATAGCAGCTCCTTTTTACTTACTCTGTAGCACCCAGAATGAACCATTACCAGGTGCTATATCCCTTGCTGGGGCCAAGGGTCATGAAGACTCTGATTTTTTGGATGGACTGAGGCCCATTCTCTTCCTTCTCTGACACTGGCTTAGTTTTCAGGAAAGTTAGGTAGATGTATAGGTTGGTGAGAGGTTGAATACCTTGCCACCTTTCCCAAGAGTTTGGGTAGGGCCCCCCCCCCCCCCCCCCCCGCTTCACCCATGTTTGTGACTCTTGACTATACCAGCTTCTCCATTATGACCCTTGGGTGGGGGTCTTCTGCTAGAGAAGCTGAACAGATAAGAGGACCCTGGGACCAGCAGGATAGGCGGGGCACTTGGATCAGGACTGTGAGTTTATGGATCCCAGGGAGGTAGAGAAGTTCCTTCTGCAGGGATAGCTCAGGAGCCATCAACCAATACAACCAATATGAACAGCTTAGCCCGGGTTGCCACCTCATGCACATAGTCAACAGAGGCATGATCAGTGGCCAGCCTCTATGGATTTTCTCTGTATTGGTGGCATGTGAGTAAATATAATTGTAGGGGATGTGTTTTCCTCCACTCTTCTAGATGTTGTCTAGTTTCTTCCATAATTATAGTGCTCCTCTTCCTTGGGACCAGGAATATTACCGTACCTGTCCTTGGATGGATAGGGTTATGCCTGTCATCTGGCCTGATTTTCATCACCAGCAGGGAACAGCCACTTGACAGAATCCACATGCTCAGATGTGGAATTTAGCCATAGGGCTTCATCCTCGGACAAGGATCATAGACTGGAACACCTGAAAATTTCAGAAACCTGCCCAAACTGAGAGCAGACCCTCTCCTGGCCACAATCTTCCTTCCCTGGGGCCCTCTCTGCTGTCCTAGACCATCTTATATTCACACTGTTGGCCCCTGTCAAAGTATGCCAGTATAGACCTACTGGGGCAGGATGCCAGAGGTGGGGGGTAGATTATGTGCTGCTTCATGGAAGGATAGGGGAACGCTGCACCAAGCCATTTGTCACCTGAACTCTGGCCTGGGCCTGTGTGTTCCCTGCCCCAAGGTCAGGACATACAAGGAAGCAGTGATTTTATTGTCAGGTCCCAGCCTTCACCTTCAGCTTATTTGTACAAGGCTTCTTCAGTTTCCTGGTGAATATTCTGGTCATGCCAGCTAGGGTGGCCAGAGGAAGCATAACTCTGTCTGTGCCAGTGGTCAGAGGGTGGATGTTATCCATTTTCCTACCCACTTGCCCACCTGACTGTGCATATAGCTCCTGACTTGACTTGGTGCTTCCTGCCAGACCATGAAACTAGAGAGAGCTCTGAGCATGACTGAGACAGAACAGCCGCCAGCTCTTTGCTGGAGGTTGGCTACAAGCATCAAGTGTGCTTAAAGCAGCCAAGTGCTATCCTGTGGCAAGCTGTCTGAATCCACCACTTCCCCTCCCTTTCCATTCATGGGTGATTGTGGTTTACAGCATTCCCATCTACTCACTCCTGCCCTCACTTGGGAAGAGCTCGGCAGCCACGTGTCAGCCAGTCTGAGCCTGTGGCTGCTCCTTCCCTGACCCCATCATCTCCAGTGACCTGCTCTTTTGCTCTCCATTTCAACTCTCCCACCTCCTCACACACACTGAGGGCTGCCCAAAACCATGTCACCACCTGGAACTGCTCCACCTCTAAAATGGCTGAGTCAGGCATCCTTTCTCTACCCACAGCCTTCTGAGTCTCCAGCCCACTCTCAGCCCCTTGTAGGACACGGGTTCCAGACTCAGCAGGACACTGAGCCTTGCTTCCTCCCCTGTTACCCTTTCTGTCTTCATTTCCCGCCCTCCCCAGCTGAGGTTCCCTGGTCCATCATTCCAGCTCTCTTCTGCCAACATCCGCAGTTCTCTTGGCTGCCCAACTCATAGTCCCGCCCGGCTGGCAGCCCCCCAGCCCTGGAGGAATCCCAGAGCCTCCAGCCTAGAGCTACCCTCCCCCCTTGTCCACTGCTGAGAGCAAGGCTAGAGAACTCAGTGATTGGAGGAAGATGATCATTCTTGCTGCCAGACATGCATGCTCACCCACTCGGGTAGCTTTAGCTTGTGGCTGCCTCTTACTGCCCCTACTCAGCATCCTATAGCCATCCCTACCAAGGCTGGGAAGACCACCTCCATCTTAAATATCATCCCTCTCCTGCCCTCTGCCTCCTCCTCTCTGGGCAAATGGCCCACCTCTTCTTCTACTAAGACAATAGCAGCCAGTATACTTCCCAGGACTGCATCTGGACTCCACATCCCTAGCACTGTTTCAGAGGAAGATTTACTCTCCTTACTCTGAGATCCAGTGTTGTGAACATGCTCATCCTACTCCTGGACCCTGAGTGGCTATTCCCCCTTTACTCCTGTTGGAATCTCTAACACCATTAAGCACACCTTAAAAACCTTCTTGTGGCTGGGAAGGTGGCTTAGTGATAGAGTGCTTGCCTACCATGCATGAAGCCCTGGGTTTGATTCCTCAGTACCACATAAACAGGAAAAGCCAGAAGTGGTACGCTGTGGCTCAAGTGGTAGAGTGGTAGTCTTGAGCAAAAGAAGCTTAGGGACATTGCGCAAGCACTGAGTTCAAGCCCCAGTACTGGCAAAAAACAAACAAAACAACAATAACAACAAATAAATATTTTATTGGTCTAAACTTTTACATTTCCTATGTTCTTTCATCTCCCCCATTGCTCAAGCCTCTAGTCAGGTTCTGACAGTCCTGTCACTCAATCACGTGTCACTCATGGCCTTCATGTGAACAAGGTCTCTAGGCTTGGCCACTATGTAGCATCCTCCTCTCACGTCTCTACCTCTGGCTGCTTTTCTTTCTCCATTGCCCCAGAAAAACCATTCCAGGTATGAGGAGTGTTACAGAAGGGGTAAAGTCTTCCCTTCAGAGCTTGTGCCAAGTGTCACCCCACACTCAGACTCATGACTGGTTTCATTGAGGACATGGCTACTTGGTGAAGTATTTTGTTTTGTTTTTGGTTTGTTTTGTCAGTCATGGGGCTTGAACTCTGGGCCTGAACACTGTCCCTGAGCTCTTCAGCTCAAGGTGAATGTTCTACCACTTGAGTCACAGCCCTCTTCCAGTTTTCTGGTGGTTAATTGGAGATAAGAGTCTCATGGATTTTCCTGCCTGGAGCCTGGACTGCCTTTGAACTGAAATCCTTAGATCTCAGCTTCCTGAGTAGCTAGGATTAAAGGCATGACCCACTAGCACCTGGCTTGGTGAAGTTTTTAAGGAAGAATTGGAGAAGATCTATAGTCTGAGGGAACTATATATATCCTGAGCTGTGATCATGGAGTCTCTGGCCCTGTGCCCCAATAGCCTCCAAAGGCATTGCTTCTTGCAGAAAGGAGTAACTCCTCTAGAAATGCCCAGAGAAAGGTGTACCTAGAGAGTGCATTCCTATAGGAATGGGGACAGATAGAGACCCCATCTGGAGACATGGCTACTCACAAACAAAGCTGCTACAGCTGAGGCAGAAGTTAGGAACACCACAGAGGTCAGTGAGCTCTATCCTTCAGACAGCTTTTGCCTTCAGAGCTTCCCTTTGATGACTGGAACAGGCTTTTGCAGGAAGTAATGAGTTTCCTGACATTGAAAGGATGCAAGCAGAAACTGGTCAAGACACCCTGCCCTTCTGTGTGAGAGAGAGCATCCTGTGCTTTTATAGATCCCCAGTCTGCATCCAACACTCACTCTGGGCCAGATCTAGTACTAGGAGGGAGATGGATGGACATGGGGGACAGTGCAGTGGTGCTGGAGATGCCTACAAGCAGCTTTAGAAATTGGGACTGAGTGTCACAGAGGGCTTCTCAGTATTGAAAGAACTCCAGGGGGTCAGATGATTGCTTGAGAGAACAAGAGAGAGTAGTCTCAGTAGAGGCCACTATGTAGTGTAGGATAGACTGAGTGAGATAAGTACTTTAGACTGTCAGCATGTGATCTTAAGATGAACCAGATTGATCTCTCTCTCTCTTTCTCTGTCTCTCTATGTCTCTCTCTCTCTCCTTCATTCTCTCTCTTTTTCTCTCTCTTGTTTCTCCTCTTTTCCTTTCTCTCATCTATGCCTGGACTGGGACTTGGACTCAGGACTCAGGGCCTGGGCACCGTCCTTTTTTGCTCAGAGCTGGTGTTCTTACCACTTTGAGCCATAGCCCTACTTCCAATTTTTTTCTGGTTAATTGGAGTTTAGAGTCTCATAGACTTTCCTGCCCAGGTGGCTTTGAACTGTCATATTCAGATCTCAGTCTCCTGAGTAGTTAGGATTATAGGCATGAACTACCAGTGCCTGACCAGCATAATTTCATAGTATTGATAAGTCAATGTTGCTGTATCAAGGGCTCCTATCTGGACCAACCATCAGCTTGCTGTGTGACTTGGGGTAGAGCCTCTATTGCTTTTTGGTTTTCCTTGCAGGAGACTTTGATCTGGGTAGTTTCATGATATTCTCCTACAGGAAAGTCAGCTCTGGAAGAGAAGCTAGGAGAGTTGCTTGTAGGCAGAGAGAACTTGGTCTTAGTTGGATGAGGACAAAATAGAGGCCTTATTCTGCTAGGGGCCTTATTCAGTATACATAACCTACCTGTAGCATAGGTGCCCATTGGCATAGCCTGAGTATGGGGAAATGGACCCATCTTGGGGAGCCAAGGTCCCATATTCCTACTGTGTAATGGGTTCCACTATCACCAATTGGTGCTCTGAGGTCCTGCCTACACTGCATTCTCTCTAGTATGTCTCCCACTTTGGGCCCCTGGTTGGCCACAAAGGGGCATTCGTAGTTCCCTGAGCCTCAAATCTTGACCTTCCGCTGTCTACAACAAGGTAGGTGGGCTACAGAATGGGACACTCAACTTGTTGGGCTTCTGGGTTCTGGGCTAGGTGTGGCCTCTGTCTGGAATGAGAGATAGCGTTAACTCCATTCTTCCCAGCCTAGGAAAGAGCACCATGTTGAAGAGAAAGCACCTCAAGGTCCAGAAGGCTCAGATCAGGTGGAAGGACACAACCAGACCTCTGGGGAAGGACAGGATTTTTTTTTTCCAATCCTGGGGCTTGAACTCAGGGCCTACACACTGTCCCTGAGCTGCTTTTGCTCAGGGCTAGTATTCTACCACTTGAGCCACAGCACCACTTCCAGCTTCTTCTGTTTCTGTGGTACTGAGGAACCAAACCAGGGCTTCATCCATGCTAGGCAAGCACTCTACCACTAAGCCACATTCCAGCTGGGAGAGGAAGGATGTTAATGAAGAGCGGGTCAGAGTCTTACTGGTTCTTCCTTGAGCTTCTTACTTTATTACACAGAGGCTCAGGCCTTTGAGGTGGTGGGATGAGGTTATAGTGGATATTTTTGTTTACTTGCTACCCTGAACAAGACTCTTCAAGACCTAGATGTAATCCAGTACAGGTACTGTCACTTGTAGTTCATGAGGGCATCTGGTGGGTGCTGTGGGTGGACAGACTTGCAGTATACCCAGACATCATGGCCTCCTGTCCTGCAGTAAGCCAGCCCCAAGGGCTAAGAAACCACATCCCTCCAGCAGATGGCACCAAAAGGTACAATGCCTTAAGACAAAGGGTTGGCTAGGGACTCTGAAGACTTCTTGAAGGAAGTAGCTTCCCAAACTCTAGCCTGAGACTTCTGGGGATTCAAACTGTTTTAGAGGCACAGTGCAAGACAGGCCTCAGGGCACCGGATTATAGACTGCCCCACCCCCACTCTACAAGGGCCTCTTTGGCCTGGCCAGCAGCCGGCCATCCACTCCCCAGCTGTCTTCCCCTGGAGGGAGATGCTGACCAGCTGGAACCTCATTCTCTTTTATTGAGGCCAAATGAAGGAAGAAATGGTGGAGTGGGTCTCTGGGGGCAGGGAGGCAGCTGCTGAAGCCAGGCAAAGAGGAGGAGAAAGAAGAGGAAGTGGAGGGTTTCTCTGCCAGCTGAAGATCTCCGCCTTAGAATAAAAGAATATGGCTGGGCTATATCCTCTCTGCGAGACCTGTCCTGCCTTCTATATCACAGAAAAGGATTTTTACCCTCACCAGATGGGGGGAAAATCAGAGACCTCTGCTATAGCAACCTTGTAGTTAGTCCAGGGGGAGGGAAGTGTTAGGCTTGGCACAGGATAAAGGCTGACCTGCCTTGGGTAGCAGGAGGTCTTGGAAGGGCTCAGTGGCATATTCGGGAGTGGTCTTTAGTTGATCCAGAATTACCCCTTGTGCTCAGCAAAAGCGTATAGCAGGAGAGGCTGAAGGGAGATGGGTAGAGTGGGGAGGCTACCACTGGCCTCCATGCTGTCAGGGCTGAAAAGTGAATCACATGTGGTCTTTTCCACATCACTGGAGAAATTGCAGCAAAGCTAGACTCAGTGTCTCCCCACAAAGCTTTCCTCTGAGACTTGGCTAGGACCCTCAAGAATGCCAAGGTACTCTCTTGGGGCTCAGCCCCCAGCCTTGACCCTGCCCTAAACAGATATCCTGAGTTGTAGACATAAGAAGCAGGAGGTTTAGGAAGCGGAAACTGGCTTGGGGTGGGGGGAGCGGGGAGCTCCTCTGAGAAGATAAAGCTAGATGGACCTGGCTAGAGGTGTATGGACAGTGACTATGGGGGCAGAGCTCCTTTTATGTTGTGCTGGCTGTCTCTGGAGCCTTATTTGTTCTGACAGCGAGGCTGGTGAATATGAAACCACTCAGGTAACATGGATCCAATGAAGTGCTGTTCTCCTTTTTCTATTTGAAGGATGTGAACATACCAGAGCATCCTCAGGCTTAGAGGCAGAATCTTTTCTGTTACCTCCAGTAGTGCAGTGGGTGTAGTGAGGCTGAATGGAGCACCAGTTGAGTGTGGAAGAGTAGTGGGTGTGTCCTGATTTACATGAGAAGCAGAAGACATTGGGGGCAGAGAAGACATAATCTGGAGCTTGACACGAAGGAACAAAGTTCTGGCAGCCTCTCCCTACAGTTCCTCTACTCTACTAGTTTTGTGGGGTTGGAGGCAAGAGGTTGGCCATATGGGCCTTTTGGCTTGCAGCTGCAAATGGGCCCTGCCTGAGGACCTCAGCTGGGGGTGGGGGTGGGGGACAACGCCTGCCTCTTCTCAATGTACATCCTGTAGCTGACCCAGCCAGACTGGGGGTGAAGAGGGCAGCTTGCCTGGCTCCAGGCCCAGGAGAACAGAGGTTGTAACAAGGCACTGGGCCAGGTGGGAGCTGAGGAAATGTGCAGCAAGCAGGAGGAATAGGGGTCAGGCCAGGACAAGAGCTGAGGCCTCTTCCTCCTATTCCTTCCTAGAGGCCCCTATGGGAATGCCCTAGTGGATGGCCCTCCGAGCTGAGGCCCCAGCCACCACCTTGTTCCATTTGGTCCTTTGGTACTAGGAACTACTTCCTACCAAAGCCCTCCTCAGACATCTTCAGCACTGGGTCCTCAAAATACTGTCATAAGATAGGAGCCTAAGTCAGCTCTTCAAGAAGCTAGGATGAGACTTGTGTTCAAGTCTAACTCATACCAGCAGTCTCCACTCTAGCTTTTACCCTTCCATGGCCCAACATGGCCTTCAAGGATATTTCCCTGAGGTCTCATCCAGCTCTCTGAGGTTATCTTTAGTAACAGGCTAGAGAACAGTTATGACTACTGTAGTGGACTATAACTAGGCTGTTCTCTCGTTCACTTCATCCTCTCATAGATAACTACACAGAAGTCTCTGCCTCAGCTCCTTTGTATAGCTATGCCTTTTGGTTGGAGGTAGAGTTTTGTCTCTTACCAAATCTGAACTGAGTAGTCCAACCCTCCCCAGCTCCACAGCCCCCTCTGCTGCCCATGGACTCTCCAGACCTGGCCTCCAGGGCATAACCTAGGGGAGCCTTAGCCAAGGACTGATCTGAGCCCAGGCTATCAAATTCCTGTGTCTCATTCAGATCCTCCTAGGAAGAGGCCTGGTGCTGGTCTCAGCCCTGAAGAAGAAGATGTTTTCTCTTCTTTGGAGCAGGGTTGTGCCATTCTGCCTGACCTAGGCCTTTGCTCCAGAGCATGCCTTCATAAATCCTCTCTGGATGACTGGCCTAAGGAAGCTTCTTCCACCCTATTCAGCTTTTCTTTTCTTCTCTGTCACCACAATAAGCCAGAGTGACCCTATCCTGGACCGTGATATCCCTGCCTATATTCTGCTCGTTGATCACTGGTGCTTGAGCTGAAGTCAGGATCCTTAGTCTGGCCTAGCTCAGCCTCCAGGCACCACCCTGTTGGCAACACTGCCCTGCCTGTGGCTGCACCTTTCCTTTTCCTTTGTCAGTCCTGACTCTGCTCAATTCCTCAAATTTGGCCTCTCAGTGCCTCCAGGCCTTTGCACCCACTGTTCCCTCTTCCCAGAACACACTTTCATCTCACAGTCCTTTTATCTCTCAAGCTGCTGACCACACCTATCCTAGGGCTGGGCTGTGTGCCACATTTGCATGTGCCAATGGTTTCTATGTCCTGTTAGAACATTGTTCACACTGTGCAAGAGTCACCTATATCTCAGTTACTTGTGAGACATGACTCTTCCATCACCTCAAAGGGAGAGGTCATGTCTGTCCTCTGTATCTGGTGCTGGGTAGGGATTAGAAACTTGAGAGGAACTTGGGCAAGGAGGCACCCAAAGATAGAACCAGCAGAACTTCCAGCAACCATGACCAGCCCATATTTGATCTGGTAGACCGTGTAGGGTTGGGGCAAAGGTGTGGTGCTTAGCCAGGCCTTCCAAGCCCCTTACTTCAATGGGCTGCCTTGCTGTTCTCTGCTTCCCACAGCTACAGCTACATGATTGACAACGTGATCCTGCTCATCACAGGCACACTGCATCAGCGCTCCATCGCTGAGCTTGTGCCCAAGTGCCACCCACTAGGCAGCTTTGAGCAGATGGAGGCCGTGAACATCGCACAGACACCTGCTGAGCTCTACAATGCTATTCTGGTGGACACTCCCCTGGGTGAGCCAGTGAGGTAGAAGCAGGAGCTGGGTAGGGGTCTCAGCCTCAGTGCGGGCTTTGCAGACTATTGGGGGTGGGTTATCCTGCTCCGGAAAGTGAGACCTGCCTGCTGCTGCTGACCTTTATCCTTCCCTCAACTTTCTCCTCTCATTCTCTCCTCCCCACTTCTCCTTTCCTGTTGCTTTTGCCAGGAGGCTACCCCATGGCCTGACTTGACCATCTAACTTTGGAAATGGTCTGGTTTGCAGAGAAGGGCTGGACACATAGAGAAGAAAGGGAGAGAGGTTTGGGTCCCTTGGAGTATTGGGAGTCCTGAAAGATAGGAGCCTCAAGCGAGGTCAGAATGACTGGCTTCCTATGAGAAGGAGGTGGTCAGCAAACTGCTTCACTTGCCTTCATTGAGCAGGTCCCAGGGGCCAGATCACACAGTGTTCAGCAGGATGCATGTCAATGTCAGAGGCCAAAGAAGGGAAGGGAATTGGGAGGCCAGGGAGGCTGGGGAGAAGGTATGAGGACCATAACCAGCTAGTGCCCTCATAACCAAAGGCCTAGCCCTGAGCAACCATTATAGAAAGCCACCAAAGTTGAGCCACAGGGGCTCTCAGCTAAGAGGCCCAATTTAGTCAGTTCTGGATGCTTCCAGTAACTCTGAGCTAGTTCCTGGTTTTTCAGTCTCCCCATCTTTAAAGAAAAGACAGATTAGTGAGTCTTCAGGCCCTTTTGGGGAATGGGGATGCTCTATCCTGCTTTGCCTCCCCTTCCAGCCCTACAGTGGCCCCCTTGGTTGTAGGTCCATGCTTGTCCAGCTGCCAGATTCATTCCTTGTCCCGAGGAAGAGAAGGAGGATTTTCCAAATGTTGGTGCCAGGCCTTCCTAGGGGAGGCAGAAAAGTGAGCATCAGGCCCCAAATCCACAGCTGCCCCTGGAGAAAGGAGAATCTCATGGCCTCTTATGCAAGCCTCTCTTTGGCATGGTCTAAACTTGGGTCTGCCCCAGTGGCGATTAGATCATGTTATGGCTGGCCGCCTCCTTTATAAATCAATTTTAGGAGCAAGGAGGCAGGAAAAGCTCAGGTCAGTGCTCATGGCCCCAAGCATTGCTTCTGCCACTTCCAAGGCAATATCTCAGGCTGGCTAGCCCCCTCTCCATACCTAGCACAATGGACCTTGTGACAGGAGTTCTCTATGCCCTGTAGAATGGTTGGACATCAGCAGGGTTTCTCGCCTAGGCCATTTGCCCAGCCCTGACACATGTATCTTTCCTCCTCAGCGGCTTTTTTCCAGGACTGCATCTCAGAGCAAGACCTTGATGAGATGAACATCGAGATCATCCGTAACACACTCTATAAGGTAGTGCCCTGCATGAATGGTGGGGAATGGCCTCTTGGTTAGTGGGGCTGTGGGACTTGGTGGGATAGTGATTTATGTTAAGGGCTAGGATAGGGCACAGCTGTGCCAGGCTGTTGTCCCTGGGGCTTATCCGTTCATTTGCTGGCTCTTGTGAGTGGTACAAGGCTGCATGGAACAGGTTATCCATCCCCTTGGTGCCTGCGGCAGGCTCAGATAAAATCAGCAGGAGTGGCTGGCACTCTACTGCTTGGCCTGTCAGAGCTGGCTCCTTGAGGGCCACTCCCTCAGCATTCTGGAAGGTCACAGGCTACCACCCAGGCTATAACCATTAGACCTACTGTACCTGGGATATTGCCAGCCAAGATAGGCACTTGCATTAAGGTAACTGCTCAGTTGTGGTTGGGGAGGGACCCAGCCAGGCATAGCTAGGTCATTATGAGCTTTTCAGGTTCTCAGGTCTGGAGCCAGTTTCTACGTCCCACTATCTTCATCCTCTACCCACCTTATGCTGTGGCATAGACTGGCTGAACCATGGTGATAGAGGATTGGGCTTGAGACTCCTGGGTCAGCACTAACTAGGCCCAAAGAGATTAAGAGAATGGGACTATGGCTATAGGTGTGGTAGAGTGCCTGCTAAGAAGCCCTAAGTTCAAATCCCAGTACCTCCAAAAGCCAGAGACCAATTAGGGATATTTGAGATAGACCAGACACTGCCTGCAGTTAGATACTGAGCTGTAGTGCCAAGATCTTCAATGAACTGTAGTCAGGAACACTGAGCAGCAGAGAACAGTCCTTGAAGAGGGGCTGAGGATGGTGCTAGCCAAAGAACATGCTGAGCTAACCCTGATAGCATCATTCTCTTGAGTTTCCATAACAGAGTCGTCTCCTGCCCTGGTTCAAGCTGTCTGACATTTGGCTCAGCCTTGGTCCTAGCTCTTCAGTCTCTCTGCAGAGACCCGAGCCAGACTTCAGGGAGAGTTTAGTGATAAATGAAGAGTCTGCCTATAGGTGGTGATGGTATAGACGGGCGCAGAACATACAGAGGAAAAGCATGGTGCATGAACCAGATAGTGAGGAAGTTTGCTGAAAAACTACAGATTCCACATGGACACTTGGAAAGAAGTCCAGAGAAAGAGGCAGGTACAGGGTCAAGTCATCACCCCAAGCCTGGAATGCCAAGCCATACATTTGAACTTTATTCTGTGGTCAGGATGAGCCAGTGAAGGTTTCCAGCAGAGTAGAGTATGCTGAGAAAATCCTGCAGTGTAGGGGGCATATTAGCAGCAAGAAGGTCATTCTCAACTTCCATCCTTGACTATCCCAGAAACTAGTATGCACCATTGTATCCACTAGAAAAATGAGGAAACAAGACTTGGAGAAGCAAGGTGGTTGTCTCAAACTACACAGTAAGTCACTAACAGCACCAGAGACCACACTTGGCTTAGCCTGTTTCTCACGCACCTTGCTCACAGGGAGACAAGCCAACCTAGTCCCAGAGAGACAGAGAAAGTGTGTGCACAGATACACACATGTTCTCCATACTTTCTCTTTTTTTTCTCTCCTAGTGCTCCCACCCAGCTGGCCCATTGCCGGGTTCCCTGCAGGTTAAGGGGTGTGGCTGTACCCCAACCTCATTCACACCCTCACTGGACCTGACTGGTTCTAGCTGGAGTCACTCACCAGTGTGTGCTGCCCAGGCACCAGCTAATAAACTCCAACCCAACACTATAGGCTCTGTGCCAGGGCCACTTGCCCGTCAGGCAATTTCCCAGCCTGGTAGCCACAGATAGGAGATTAGGTGGACCCTCTGCAGCCTGGCAGGTGGGAACTGTAGGCAGCTGGTGCAGCAACCATGAGCTGGATGACTCCAGGGGACAGGTTGGGGTTGGGGAGGTGACCTTGGTACCTGGGTCTTGCCACTTGCTTTAGCTGTTTTAGCCTCCAGAGGACAGTCTACGCCTATCCTTCCAGCCTTCCCAAATATGATCAGCTTTTCCAGAAACCAACACAACTGCCTAAGTCAATTGGGAAGTACAGAGTATGAGGCCTAAGACATGACTGGTTGCTTCCTCCACAGATAGGAACTACAGTCCTCATAGGGTAGACCTTGGAATTTCAGCATAGTCAGCTTTTCTGGTCACAGGAGACTTGACTCCTGGAGGGTTTGAGAGGACTATCACGCTATAGTCAGGGTTGGTCTGCTCCCAGGCCATCTGATTTCTGATTCTGTTTACTAGGCTTAAAAACTCCCCTTCCAGGCTTCTTTTTTTTTTTTTTTTTGGTCGGTCGTGGGGCTTGAACTCTGGGCTTAGTCGCTGTCCCTCAGCTCTTCAGCTCAAGGCCAGCGCTCTACCACTTGAGTCACAATGCCACTTCTGGTTTTCTAGTGCTTTATTGGAAATGAGTCTCACAGACTTTCCTGCCTGGGCTGGCTTTGAACTGTGATCCTCAGATCTCAGCCTCCTGAGTAGCTAGGATTACAGGCATGAGCCACCAGTGCCCGGCTCTTCCAGGCTTCTTTACCTCTGACCTCTCCTAGTTTTTTGGGTGTTTTGTCACTCCAGTGGTCACCTTTCAGCTCTCCGCTGTGCCCAGTTTGTCTAGTGTTGCTGGTCAGGCTGGACCTGATCTCATGGATTCCTGGGTCTCATCTTTCTTGGAATGGCTGAACCTACAGGTGCAAGTCAGCTTAGTACATGCATCTTAGTGTACAAAACTTGTCATGCCTCCCAGGCTCCTCCAACAGTGGAAGAATAGTCTCTGTTGATCCTTAGTCTTGCTTGATCATGCCACAGGTAGACCCTGAGGGGTTCTGAATGAAGGATGTTCTTGCAAAAGAGCTCCCTATGGAGACCATGGAGAGGTGTAACCTGGCTGGCTTTATGAGTGAGTGTTGAGCAGGATCTGAGGTCTGGGCTGATCCTTCCTTATGTCAAGCAGATCCAATTTGCTTGGGCAGGAAGTACTTGTTCCCACCAGCAGCCCGTGTGCCCAGCCATTGCACTGTGAGGCTGACGTCCACACAGGCAATAACCATCCTTCAGCCAAAGCTGGGCTGACAATTTAGTTCCTGCTGTGTGATGGCTAGGGGCTACCTGTTCTGCAAGGTGGTGGGGTACAAGGAGGGCTGAGTAATCAGTCCAGGCCATCTTCATGAACTCTCAGGAGTAATTTTTCCTCACTGACCCATGGACACCTGATTTTGAGGCCCAGGAACAGGAGGTTTGGGGAGATTAAGAGGAATGCAGAGCATCAGGAAGAAGACAGAAGCTTTGTAGGGTGAAAGGGTGGAGGACATGTACCCTGAAGCAGACATTGGGCCAGAGACTGTTCTTTCATTCCTGGATAACAGCCAAGCATGGCTGATTAACTGAAATTGGTGGACGTTTTAGGTGCTTGGCCACAGAGGTGCACTGGCTCATTTCTATACCATAAAAGAGGCTGAGGAGGGAAATGGGAAACTGCGATTTGGAGCCTAACAAGGCCCCCAGTCCCCTTTGTTTGCACTGAACAAATTCCCTGCCCTGCACAGGCCTACCTAGAGTCCTTCTACAAGTTCTGCACCCTATTGGGCGGGACCACAGCTGATGCCATGTGCCCCATTCTAGAGGTGAGTGCCTGCCCACCTTCTTGCCTTTATAGTCTCCACTTCCTCTGGTCTGGGAGAAATTCTGCCAACTGACTACAACTTCTCCCATCCTCCCTCTCTCCTTGCCTATGCACTGGCCCCACAGTTTGAAGCAGACCGCCGCGCCTTCATCATTACCATCAACTCCTTCGGCACAGAGTTGTCCAAGGAAGACCGTGCCAAGCTCTTCCCACACTGCGGGCGCCTCTACCCTGAGGGCTTGGCTCAGCTGGCTCGGGCAGATGACTATGAGCAGGTCAAGAATGTGGCTGATTATTACCCAGTGAGTACCCTGGCTGGCAAGATGGTGGGTGGGCATGTTGGCACTACGCACCTACCAGTACCACCCTCACGCTCATGCTTCCCATTACTCCCTGGCCAGGAGTACAAGCTGCTTTTTGAGGGTGCAGGCAGCAACCCTGGAGACAAGACCCTGGAGGACCGGTTCTTTGAGCATGAGGTAAGCATGGGTTTTACAGGGCCTACCCAGCATAGGAAGGGTTGTGGCTTAGGCTTGACTTTGGCCAGGGCCATCTATATACCATGACTACCTCTGTCCACAGGTAAAGCTGAACAAGTTGGCCTTCCTGAACCAGTTCCACTTTGGTGTCTTTTATGCTTTTGTGAAGCTCAAGGAGCAGGAATGTCGCAACATTGTATGGATTGCTGAGTGCATAGCCCAGCGCCACCGCGCCAAGATCGACAACTATATTCCCATCTTCTAGCATCCTGACCTCACTCAAGTGCACGATGTGTATTTGTGTGTGCTGTGATGAAGCCCATGGCTCACCTGGTATGGGTGGGGGAGGGGGAGGCTCCAGAGGGTAGCACCTTGTCCTAGGGGCTGCCCAGGTTCTCTGACCCCCTCTGGGACTGCTTTTAAGCCTGAAAAGGGGCTATTGACCAGGAATGGACCAACACTCACCCCCACTCCCCCTGCGAGTAATGAGTCCCCCTTCAGCCCTATGTTTACAGCCACTAACATGTCTCAGAAGCATGTGGTCACTTTCATGTATCTCCCTGATTTAGAATCCCTGGGAGTAGTGTGAGCTTCCTCCTCTGTCTGAGGGTCAGCCCCAGAGTCATGGCCCATGGCAAAGATAGTATGTGTGTCCTTGGGATGTTGGGTAACTAGCTCTGCAGCACCCTTCCTCAACTGTCACTGAAACAATAAAACTGCCCTCCCTACGCCACTGTCTGTTGCCTCATTTGGGCCCTAGTACCTATTCTAGACCCCTGGCTTTCCTCATGACTCTTACTGAGTCCACCCTACAAAGCCAGCAGCCTAGATTCTTCAGGGTCGGTGAATGCCTAGAGGATAGTCCCCCTTTGCTGGAGACACAGATGCAGAAATAGGCCTGGGAGCTGGTTCTCACTCTGGAGGGCTCCAGAGCTCCATAATTGTTTCACTGAGCCCTATAACCCCTGCAATCAGTGTCATTACCCGCTTTTCCTATGAGGAAAACCAGACCTAGAGATAAGTGATTTGCCTAAAGCCAGTGGAGGAGTAGGGGTGAGAACTGCAGTGGGCCAGGGAAGCCTCTCAGGCCCATGCCAGCCCAGGCCCCATGCTGAGCCCCAGGAGCTCTCAGGCGGTTCCCAACCTCTGCCACACAGCCACACCCTGTCACCCAGGCAACCAAGCAGTCACCTCTTCCAAACACTGCATCTCCCCCACTCTAGGAGAAATAAAAATTTGTCTTTATTTAAAATGTAGCAAGTAGGGTATGCAGCTTCCCTGTGGCTTGGAGGTGGGTGGTGAGGGGGTCCTAATTCTTGAACCAGTCAAGAGGCAGTGGGATTTACCCTGGAATTGCAGCACTGAGGCGTAGGTGCCAAGAAACAATCCTGAGGAGGTCCCCAACCCACCCAGTCACTCCTTAGCTTGCAGAGGCACTGCTGTAGGGTCCTGTCAAAGGCTACAGCTAAAGTCATGTACTATCCTTCCCATCCAGCTGGGTTTTCCATGCTGCAGGGAGGAGCACTGATCCTGGAAGGTTCATGTGGACTCACGAAGCAGTGGAGAGACCAAGGCTCTCTGGGAAACCTTAGCTTCCTAGGCCTGGACCAGGCGTTGGCAGTTAGGGGCTGGGTTTCTTTATAAGAGGCTCTAGGGCAGACTTGGGGTTCATAACGGCCAGGAGAGAGCCAAGGGCTCCCATGCTGGAGCAGCTAAGCCATTTGTGCACATATCTCACCGGGCCACCATTGGGGAAGGGTCTAAGTTTGGGTTTGTTTCCCGGGATATATCCTGGGCAGGGATAGGGCCTGGCTGGCCAGGCCGCAGTGCTCGGGGCAGGCAGTGACTGATGAAGTAGGCCTGTAGGAAGCGGCGACGTAGGCCTTCAGGCAGGTAGTAGTGGATGAAATACATGAGCCCCACGCCACGGCCTGGGTAATAGCGGCGACGTGGCCGAGCTGCCAACAGGGCATCAGTGATGGCATCTATAACTGGGCTGAGGTCGGGCAGTGCCATTTGAAGTGAATGAAGGAACTGCCCATGCAAGTGCTCGATGTAGTCTTCACCATAGGCCTGCAGCAGCTCTCTAGGCATGTTGGCCAGCAGCAGTTGCTTCCGCTTCTCCCAGTGATTCACATTTGTCACTGACTCTGGGAAAGGGGTGGGAAGGTCAAAGGACAGTCACCTGGAGAGCCAAAGACCTCTCACTGAGGCTAACCCAAAGCTTGGTCTGCCCCCTCAGACCTTCCCCTATCTGTAAGACCATGCACACCCCTCCTTTCCCAGCCCCAGGTATTCCCCACTCCTGACCTTGACTCACCTGTCTTGAAGCATCCAGGCTGGATGACACTGACCTTGATCCCCCAGGGAAGCAGTTCACAGCTGAATGTGTCCATAAGCAGAGCTATGGCTGCCTTGGAAGTTCCATAGGCTGCCAAGCATGGATATGGCATGTCTCCTAAAGATAGAATAGGAGATGAGGCAACTGGGCCTTGGAAGGGGCTTGCCCTCCCTCACCCTGCAAAGGCTCCTTTCCTGCCCTGCTCCAGAGGGGAAGTACACTCACCTGCTGGACTGCCCATGGTCACAATTCGACCCCTTGAGCAGCGCAGAAGCGGCAAGAGGCCCTTGGTTAGCTCAAGTGCACCAAAGAAGTTCACCTCCATGCAATTGCGGAACGTGGCCACAGGAGATAGCTCCACATCTGCCACTACGTCATTGAGGCCAGCATTGTTGACCAGGCCCCACAGGCCTAAGGGCACAGAGACAGAGGAAAGCCTCAGATCAGCCTAGCAGCAAATCTGCAATCCTTGCTGACCCAGCCTTTATCTTGCCCAGCCATGCATTCCCTCCCATAGTGGAGATGTGCTTACTGACCAGTGCTGGCGGTATGAGCCTTGGTGAACTCTAGCACACGGCTAATGTCTGCTGGCTTCGTCAGGTCCATCTGTAGCAGTTTTAGGCGTGGGGAACAGCAGGCACGCAGCTCTAGGGCACCAGAGCTATTCAAATCCAATACAGTGGCCAGCACTGTGAAGCCCATGGCATCCAGTTTCTTGGCTGTCTCCTTGCCAAAACCAGTGTCACAGCCTGGCCAGGGCAGAGAAACCAGTGAACTCCCACTGTGGCCCAGACTAGCCCAAGACAACCAAAGAATCAGGGTATGGGTGGGATCCAGGTTCCTAGGCACCTATCCCAGCAGCAGTCAACAGCCCTCCCTTCTTCCCTATAGACACTTCTGGCAGGCTTTGCCCTTCTGATTGAGCCCTAAATACAAATTATGACAACTATCATCTCCTTGACTGCCCATAATTACCCCATCCAACATGGCTCACGATTCTCATTTCACAGAAGAAATAGAGACCTCGTCCATATTGCTTCCTGAATCTATCCTTTACCTAAGCAGGCAGAGGGAGTTTTCAGAAATGATAAGATCACTGTGCACTGGTGGCTCACGCCTGCTATCCTCGATACTCAGGAGGCTGAGATCTGAAGATCAAGGTTCAAAGCCAGCCTGGGCAGGAAAAGTCTCTGTGACTCTTATCTCCAGCAAACTATTTGAAAGGATGGAAGTGGAGCTGTGGCTCAAGTGGTAGAGTGCTAAGCCTTGAGCAAAACAGCTCAGAGACAGTGCTCAGGCCCTGGGTTTAAGTCTCAGGACTGGCATCAAAAACAAAACCAAGCTGGGCGCCGGTGGCTCAGGCCTGTAATCCTTGCTACTCAGGAGTTCTGAGGATCATGGTCAAAGCCAGCCCAGGCAGGAAAGTCTGTGAGACTCTTATCTCCAATAAACCACTTGAAAACCAGAAGTGGGGCTGTGGCTCAAGCGGTAGAGCGCTCACCTTGAGCTGAAGAGCGCAGGGACAGCGCCCAAGCCTAGAGTTCAAGCCCCACGACCGACAAAAAAAAAAAAAGCCAACAATATCACTTTGCTTCTGAAAACTTTCCCGAGGCTCCCCACTGTCCTAAGGACCTTGCCAGCCTCACAATGCAGCCTAAACTCTGGTGCTCTCGAACGTGAGTGCCCATTCCCTTCCCAGATTCATTCCCTCTACTATTATTATTCCAGGCTGTAGGCAAGCTACAGGCCCATCCCCATCTCATCCCTGCCCCGCCCCCCTGGAATTCCAATCAGTGACACCAGGAAGGTATTTTCTGAATCCCAGGCCACTTGCTCACAGGACAAGGACCACAGTGGTACAAAAAACAGACCTGCATTTGAATCCCCCATAACTATTGAATGTGACCTGAGGTCAGTTACTACTCTTGGAGGCTTAATTTCTTGTCCTTGGTATGCAGAGATAAGAACCACCAGGCAGAGCCAGTGTGGGGGTCCCAAGCACTGATAAGCCCCTGCTTCCTTGATAGTTTCCATTCTGATTCTGGCTCCGTGGGTGGCCAGTGAAGGGAGGAGGAGGGCCAGCAAGGGAGGAGGCTCTGTGGAGCTCTCTAGCCCTGGGGTCCTGCTGAGCAGAAAAGCTGCAAAGCAGCTCTGCTTCCCCACTGCTGGATGATCAGTACCCCTCCTCATCTCAGTCCCGCCTCCTCTGCTGAGGCAAGAACAAAGCTGGGCAGGGGGCTGCGAACTGGGCTTTGTGCAGCTGGGGGCCCGCAGGGTCTGTGCTGAGGGGTCCTTCCCAGGCAACTCTGGCTGGGGGAGGGGAGTATGTGCGCACAAATGCAAGCACTTTGCCTCCCAGAGCAGACAGGCCCTCCACAGGAAAACAGACCTCCCAGAGCCTGAGCTCTGGGGCTCCAATACAGTCATGCACATTTTATGTACCCTCTTGCTTACCTGCACACACTTAGATACCTGCACATACCTCTAACCTGTCCAGATGTTCATGCATAAAGTTGAACCCTGCCACTTACAGGCATACAGATGTGCACATGCATGTACACAAGGTAACCAGTCACACGACATGGCCCAACCCCCAACCGTATGGCTGAGCTTGAGGAATAGGCTTGGCAAGCAGTTCTCAGGAGCATTTTCAGGGAAGGGTAGGTAGCAGCTCTGGCAGGTACAAGACTGCCCTTGGCAGGTGGGGTAAGACCTAGTCAGTTAAAATTGTTACAGCCGAGTGGTGATGAGGAAAACTCCAGAGTTTGCAGGAATTGTCAAGTTAGGAGACCACTGCTACTGCTTTCAAAGGGATGGGATGGGCAGTTCTGCTCCCAATCCCAAACCTTCAGCTTTGCAACCGAAGTTGGAAGGAGCCCGGGTCATGAAAGCATCCATCCTCTCTCCCTGGTTCAAGGCTGAAGTGACACCAGCAGTACGATGATGATCTGAGGTGAGAGCTCAGGAAGAGTCATGAGTACTTGAGATGGTTTTGTAGGATCAGCTCAAAAATTAGAAGGCAGGAGAGGATCTGTCCTGTTTCTGGGGGCAAAACCCAAGCCTAGATCCTGCTTCACACCAGATCCAAGATCCTAAGGATCTGGTGGCTTTCTTTCCTCAAATCTCTAAAACTGGTGTTCCTTTAGGCTTCATACTTACCCTGAACTTGAATCTCTACATTTAACCCAAGTCTTGCTCCAGCGCCATCCTCTGTACTAAAATCCAAAGCCCTTTTGCCACCCCCTTTCCCCACAGGACACTTTTGACTTTGTACCTGACATTAAGACCCCTCCCAAGAAAACCTCACTTCCCACCACACTCTGGCAGCTAGATTGGCCATTAAGTGTCTTTTACCCTAACCATGATTATTCCTGCCTTAAGCCATTG